TACCAAGGGTATAAAAGCAGGAGGAGAACAAGGAAGGGGGGGTCAGAAGACAGGAAGAGAACTGTGACACTAGGTGTGCTGAGCCTGCCAGAGGAATGAAGGCTGTTCTCCGACTCTTGATGTGCTGCTCGGTTCTTTCCCCGGTCAAGAGCTGTAACACTAGCTGTACACACTACCGCAACATTTTGGTTCCCTGACCAGGAAAGCCTACCGAGCTGGCCCCTTGAAGCCACCGGAACGGCGTACAACAGACGGCGATGGTAGACTGTGGGCTGAGACTACTGGGTACCAAGCAGCATCTCTCCTCCAGCACCAAGAAGAGAGAAGAGGAGCTGTTGCCAAGGCCTCGCTGAGGGAGAAGCAGGGGCACTGATGCAGACCACGCTGCGGCAGGCCTCCCGGCAGGTGCCGACCTCCACGGTAGCAGGAGGCTGAGCGGGTGGGTGCCAGGCTGAGCGAGCTGGAGCGGCAGACCAAGGCCAGGAGGTCGGACAAGGTAGGGTCCCCGGGACCCATCCAAGATAGGCCTGTTAGTGGGACGGAAGAGGAGCCCATCGGCTCCTAGGTGTAGGCCCGTCAGCGGGACGGAAGAGGAGCCCTATCAGCTCCTAGGAAGGGTTAGGTCCGTCAGCGGGACAGAAGAGGAGCCTGATCGGCTCTTAGGTGTAGACCCGTCAGTGGGACAGAAGAGGAGCCCAATTGGCTCCTAGGGTATAAGCCCGTCAGTGGGACGGAAGTGGGATGGAAGAGAAGCCCCATCGGCTCCTAAGGACAGGGATCCCCCAGGGGAGGGAATGTGTAACCTCTGAGTGAATGTGAGTGGAGGGAACAGTGACTGCGGTCACTGTCGGCAGCCCCACAGCTTCGGCTACGGGGTTTGAGTGGGTCCTAATCTGGGGTTCTGTGGAGATGTCAGCATGACAGCGATTGCCAACATGCGCTTAAGTTCTCTCGAGGGACGCAGCTAAGTGGATACCTGAGAGAAGCCCCTACCCCTTGTCTAGAAAGGGGAGGAGCCAGAGCAGGGACAAGAGTCTGGGCAGGGACAAGGTTCAGAAAAGGAGTGTTGTCGGGCAGTGTAGGGAACAGGAGCGCTGGTTAAATCAGTTGAAACATGGGAGGGTCCGATCCAAGCCAACAGTTCTAAGGTGCATGCTGATAAGTTTCATGTGTTCAGTATGGAGAGTGGTGACTGGGACTGCACCCGACACCCCCCCACACCATAGATTTCTCCACCGCTGGCATCTCCACAACTTGTCCACCGGTTGTGGTCTGCCCTGGCCTTCCAGATGCCTCTGCGTGAAACGTGAGGTCAGCCGCAGGTTCGGGATGACGGAATCCAGCCAGGGCAACCTGCCTTATATTATCAGCCTTTCTCCACCATCCATCTATTGAATTGGAAACACCGTACGCCGTCCTACTCGGAGAAACCTCAGGCCCTCATCGACCTCCTGGAATCTATCTTCCAGACTCACCGTCCCATGTGGGAAGATTGCCGGCAACTCCTGCTGACCCTCTTCAGTACCGAAGAACGGCGTGGGATCATGACTGGAACTCAGAAGTGGCTGCAGGAACGGCACCGGCAGGCACCCTGGATGTGGAACAGTGGGCATCACGAGCAGTGCCCGAGACCAACCCAGAGTTGGATTTCAACACACCATAAGGACAAGCAGCACTTGAGCAGTACCGAGAGGCTCTTCTCCAAGGAGTGCGAGACGGGGCCAAAAAGCCGACCAACATGAACAAGGTTGCCCTAATTGCCCAAAAGCCAGAGGAGTCACCCTATGACTTCTACAAGCGCCTCTGTGAGGACCGAATATGCACACCTATTGACCCGGAGGCAGCCGAAAACCAGAGAATGGTGAATGCAGCATTCGTCGGGCAATCAGCCTCCGACATCCGGAGGAAGCTGCAGAAACTCGAAGGATTTGCAGGCACGTGTATCATGCAGTTAATGGAGGTGGCCCAGAGGTGTACGTCAACCAGGACTGGACTGCTTAGAGGGAGAAAGATCAGAGGATGAAGAAAAAGGCTGCCCTCCTAGCTGCTGCCCTCGGTAGACCTGACGCGTCCAGGCGGCCCAGACCTCCACAAAAGGGAGGAACCAGAGGACAGGCACCCCTGGCAAGAGACCAGTGCGCCAATTGCAAGAGGTTTGGCCACTGTAAGAATGAATGTCCCCAAAAGAGAAGTCACCTGTCGCAAGGGAGGGCCCCGTTCAGGACAACCCAACAGAAACTGGAAGCCCAAGAGCTAGTGGGGCTCGCTGGCATTGACTCCAAGTTGGGCCGACTGGGTTCCTTCAATTTTGGCGCACGAGAACCCACAGTCAAGATGAAAGTGGGCCAACAAATGATATTTGTGGACGTTGGAGCAGAACACTCAGTTGTGATAAGGCACGAGGTCCTCCACATGCCAGACTGTCCGGTGCCTCTCTTGGGACAGGACTTGCTGAGCAAGTATGAGCCAGACACCATCCAGAGGACTGAGGAGCTGGAGGAGGCCAAGAAGAAGCTGGCAGAGAAAGATAAGGAGTGCGCTGATTTGAGGCACAACCACCAGCGGGCAGTGGAGTTCCTGCAGGCCTCCCTGGATGCCGAGACCCAGGCCCACAACGAAGCACTGAGGCTCAAGGAGAAGATGGAGGGTGACCTCAGTGACATGGAGCTGCAGCTGGGCCATGCTACCCAGCAGGCCACGGAGGCACAGGTGGCCACACGGCTGCTGCAGGCCCAACTGAAGGAGGAACAGGCAGGGAGGGATGAGGAGCAGCGGCTGGCAGCTGAGCTCCAAGAGCAGGTGCAGGCCCTGGAGCGCTGGGCTGTGCTGCTGGCTTCTGAGCTAGAGGAGCTGCGGACTGCGCTGAGCAGGGTGAGCGCAACTGGTGACAGGCAGAGCAGTAATTGTTGGAGGCCACCGAGTGCCTCAACCTCCTGCATTCACAGAACACAGGCCTCCTGAACCAGAAGAAGAAGCTCGAGGTGGATTTGGCCCACCTGCATGGGGAGGCAGAGAAGGCCATAAAGGCCATCACCGATGGCACCATGATGGCTGAGGAACTGAAGAAGGAGCAGGGCACAAGTGCACACCTGGAACGGATGAAGAAGACGCTGGAACAGATGGTGTGGGAGCTCCAGGCCTGGCTTGAGGCTGAATAGGCTGCCCTCAGAGGTGAGAGGCAGGTATCTATGGGGGTACTGTCACAGACTGTGGGCCCCTGGCAGAGGCCAGTGGCCTTTCTGTCCAAACAGCTGGACTTGGTAGCGTTGGGATGGCCGCCTTGTCTGCAGGCACTGGCAGTGACCATCTTGCTGGTCAAGGAGGTGGACTGGCTTGCGTTTGGGCAGGGTGTCTATGAGCGGACCTTGAACCCTGCCACCTTCCCTCCTACTGGGCCAGGGTCCCAGGTCCATGACTGTGCTGAGGCCGTGGAGGAGGTGTGTGCAAGCCGGCCAGACTTGGGGGATGGTCTGTTGCCAGCGCCTGACCTGGAGCTCCACATGGAGAGCAGCAGCCACACCCAGGATGGCAAACAGTTGGCTGGCTACGCAGTCACCACAGGGAGTGAAGTCTCACATCAGCCCCTCTGCTTCAGGGATGGTCAGCCCAGAGGGCAGAGTTGTGGGCGCTCATCCAAGCTCTCAGGTATGCCCAAGACATAAGCACCAATGTATATGGATTGTCCCTAAATCTGGTCAGACTGAATGGGACCACCGGTCTGGACTCTCATGGGAATTGGACTCGGGGCCTTCGCCCCAAGAGACTGGACTAACTTGCTTTGGTAATCCTTTTCTGGGTTTACATGGGGTGCCTCTGTGTTCTTGGTTGGAGCTCTCTGGGGAAGAATATGTAAACCAATCAGGAATTGTAACTACCAAAGTCAAAGGGCTATGGTAACCATGGGACCTTGCTTGCCCAATGCAGTTATTAGATTCGTAGAGAGGTTGATGCCCCTGTGTAAACTGATAAGGGCATCAAAAGGGGGGAATGATGTGGAAAATGTTAGGCGTCGGGACGCAGCCGCTTGCCGCCTCCCTGCGGGCCAGCGCTTCGAGGAGACTTCCAGCCTTTATCCTGTGACAGAATAAATTTCTGTTGTTTAAGCCACCCAGTTTCTGGTACTTTGCTATGGCAGCCCTAGGAAACTCGTACAGCAGCCATCTTGAATCCTCTCACAAACCTCAGCTCACTTACAGAGGCCTTTGATATTTCACAAGAAAGGTTGAACCTTTCTTTTTCTTCCTTTTGTGGCTGTCTTCTCCCACCCAGTCCTCTTACATTACCTTCTTTCTCTTTAAGAAGTCACCTCTAGTCTCCCTTGCAGCCTGTTTTCTCCACCTGAAAGCTACCTGAGAGAATCCCTCTTTTGTATCTCAAAAAATAAGATGGACTTGAAAATGAAAATCTACTTTTAAATTAAAAGATGACATATTTGAAAGTTCTGTGTGAACTTCTTAGAAACACATTTCATCCCATATTGGGATACTTAGCAAGTCTTAACAAGCCAAATGCTGTAATTCTGCCTTAGAAACTCCACACTGACTAATGCTTCTGAAGAGATTTAGTCCTATCTTACTTCTACTTGTGTTTTGCTCAATATTCCCACCATACAATTTTGACATGTTCTGGACATGATTTTACAAAAAACAAAATGTAAAACTTTAAATAGTGGAAGTTCACCCATTCCTAGATATAAATGATACATAAACTTTGGAAAATCTTCTTACTAAAGGTTTGTTTGTGCCTTCATTAGCAATATACTAAAGCTAATAATTTTTAAATCTGCAAATATAACCAATACTAGTGTTGTTCAAATTGTTTTAATCACTACTCTCCCATCAGCAAAAAAATAGTTCTGTGCATGCACTTACTGTATATGTGCATATTTATAAAATATATATGTGCATATTGCACATTAAAATGTACTATTATTAGAATTTTTAAAGGATGAAATTAAAGCTAAATATGAATAATAGTTCTTTTGTTTTCACAAAGGCCATCTTGTGAACGCTACTTAGGAGATCACTAGCTTCCGTAAGAGTGAATATGATACAGGTAAAGAGCAAACTCCTGACTTACTTCACAGTTAATAATGATGCTTGGAGTTATTGAAGAAGTATCACAGAACCATGCTATGGGGAACCCTTCTGAGCCCCTATTACTCCTCTCTCACTTATGCAACACCATTGTTCATGTTAGCACATGACCAAAGTAGAGAAATGCACAGAACAGAGATTTCATCAACAGCCAGTGATATATTGAAAAAAAAAATCAAAGCTTAAATTTCAGAATAGTACAGAAAAATAGAAATAATAATAAAAATAGCCATACATTGAGAGGAAATATAGTGCAATAGTTAAGGCTCTGGTGTTTGATCAGGTTGAGAGAAGAGGAATGAGTCAAGAATGTTGAGTCATTTCTTTTTTTTCCTTAATTGAGACACATTCTTGCTCTTGCTCAGGCTGGTCTTGAAGTCCTGAGCTCAAGCGATCCTCCCTTCTCAGCCTCCCAGAGTGCTAGGATTACAGGCATCAGCCACCGCACCCAGCCCGTGGAGTCAACTCTTAATCCACACACACAAACAGTAGGTTCATATGATTTAGAATATGCCACACAAACACATATAAATACCTCTCTGTCCATCTCTCTGGGTTTGGTATGGGTCTTTTCCAGAAACCAGTAAGACCACTGATTACTTACCTGATGAGAGATCACATGCTAGAGTTATAAGTCTTTCTTGCCACTCCCATTCACTGGGTGCTTTGATGAGTGCCTTACAGATATTATCTCACCCAACTTCTCAGGGTCATGATTCCTCATCTACAAACAGTAGTTATAACTACCCCCCTGGTATAGTTATTATGATCAAGTAATTCATCCAGAATCATAAGGGACAGGTGCCAGAAACAGGGTCCCAGGCCAGGCTGTTGAACTCCAACAGGGTTCGCCACTCCTGTACCAGCAGTCAGGAATAAGGACCCCCTCACCCCGCTTGATCAGAGAAAGGACTAACTTGCCTTTTCAACAATCCTCATTAATCTATTAAATCTTCTTTCCTACTTGACAAATCAAACACAGAAAAAAGGACAAAGCAAGGAGTTAATCCATTCTTGCTCTTTTTTTCCTTCACAGCCTCAGTTATTCACTGTTGGGGTTTGGGAGGACCCAATATATTACACTCTCTCCTCTGCTGGAGCTGTGAATTTACCAAGAGGAACAAAAGTGCAAAGCAGATGGAGAGTGTATCAGCGATTCTATTATTAGCAAAACTATGTTGAACAGTGACAATTTTGTCCCCCAAAGGCTCTAACATAAGCCCTAAGAGTTCATCAGTTAAACTTATCTTAATGCCACTCCTCATCCAAGGTTGAAAATTCACTCCCTATTCTATTTTCCGCTTCGAATTAGCCCATTCACATTGTCCAAAATATCGACAGTTCTGCAAAAAACAAAAATAAAAACACTCTAATGATAATATGCTAAATGCCCTCTGTATAAATTTAAGCCCACTAACTATGAAGTTCCTGAAGAGAAATGAAAACCCTCAAATTAAATCCCTTTACAAATGCAAGTCTTAAGAAAGAAAAATTCCAAAGGGATTCAAGTCTAACATCAAACTCACTTTCCCTTATATATTAAAAATCCAAAGAAACCCTCCAAAACATCTTTCTGGCAATACAGCTGAATAAGTATCATGAAAATCTCTCCTAATAAAGAATACATAATAATGCTGAAAAACACACAAAGCATTTATTTCAATGCCTAACAGCTTAGTTGGCAAGAGAGTAACAGAAATCCCTTATGGTCAAAAGTTATTTAAAAAATAAAAATCTAGCAAGATAGCTATATATTGAAGCCAATAGTTACCCTCAGGGATATACTGATCTCTGATAGCCTAGAACTTGGGTTTCAATGAGCCATAAGCAACAAAGCTTATATCCTGAGAAGGTGAGGTGCCAGATGAAAGGCTCCTGATAAAGCCTGGACCCCAAAAAGATAATATGCTCAGAGAGTAAAAAACAATAGCCCCTTAGAGGTAGGCCACAAACAAACTTGACTTCTTGTGATGGATCAGGAGGGAAAAAGCATATGCTTTGAGAATTTACATTAATAAACAGATCACCAATCTGGTCTGAGACTGAATTTATATTACAGTATATATATAGGCAAAAAAAGAAAAACCCTACAAGTTGAAAATTGAGTTTAAAGTAGCCCCAGGTTTGTAGTGCTGTTAGTCGTGTAGAAGAACCAAATATAAATTCTCATGAAAGAATACAGTATAATCCAGTGCTGAAAGAATTTCCACAGACAGAAGTTGTCAGAGGCATGAGCTTATACTTAAAAATCACAAAAACAAAAATGAAACCAAGAAAACAAGCCAATATGACTGTGAGTTGATAGAAAAACAATTTAAAAATTGAACCATATCCATAATTAATATAGGTATTACAATTATGAGACATAAAATATAAATTATGCTAAATATTTTTAATGGAATGAATAAGTTTGAAATTATGATAAAATAAATAAGAGTTCAGGCAGGCTTGAAAATGAAAATTTTAATTTTTTAAAATTAAAAATATAGTAATCCAAATTAGAGTAGTCATATACTATAGATTCGTACATACACATTCAAGTTTAACAATCACCAACTTAGACCTTCTTATGCTATCCTTCATATTTCTTAACTTTTCATATTTTGTATCTGTTTGTTTTTGTGATTCATTATGAACAAATTCTTCAGATCTTTAAGTATATAACTACTCCCTTTAGTTTATGTTTAATCTGATGTGCTTATGTTTAATCATGAGTCTCTAATTGGATTACTATATCTGTTAATGTGAAGATTCTGATTTAATAGTCTGGAATGGAATCTGACATTTTACATTTTTAACAAATTTCCAGATCAAGCCAATATTGCTGTTACCACACCTCTATTAGTAATAAAATAAATCAAATACACACACAAAAAGCAGCAGGGTCATAGAAAATTTGAAATACACAGCAAGAAAGTTTGACATAAACAATATTAAAAAAACTGCCAACAACAATCAAAGAATGCTCATTCTTTGTAAACATTATTGAAAATTGACCAGATACTAGTTAGAGCAAGCCTCAAAAAATTCAGCACATGTTCTCTGACTTCAATATATCAAAGTATTATTTTTTAAAAAATTAAAAAACATGACTTATAAAATATAGAGTACACATGTGCTGAAGAGGCAACTTGTAAAATGGTGAAGTTGGTTCAAAAAGCATTTGAGAAACCAGGTATTTATAATCATTCTGAAAAAAGAACATTACAATAAGATTGCTGGATTAGGTACAAAACTAGTTAATGACCTAAAGGGAAACAAAACCATAACTTTTAGAGGTTTTTTTTTTCTTTACTGGATAAAAATCTACAAACTAACACGTAACTTCACAAAATCTGGATTTTTGTTCAAGAGTGAATAGCAAGTTAAAGGGGGATTCCTCTAGATAATGAAATAAGCCTTGCCCAGTTAAACAATGTTCCAATATGATATCAAAAGAATGTGCTGCTCCCTTTGCCTTATTTTTAAGTTTCAGATAATGTTTTTTAACATGTGCTAGCCTTGCTGGTTCATATGGGTTTTCTCCTAGGGAAGCAGAGTCACAATGGTGGGAGTAAAATTATAACCTTCAGTAAGAAAGCAGAAGCCTCAGTTCCACTATGGTATTATTGGCAGTGCTGTATTTTAAGACATTTTCAAACAAGCACCTTTTTCGGGGGTGGCCTCTGCTGTAAGTACAACCCCAGGCTTCTGTGCTTCTCGGCTCGTGGAAGGCTACACTGCCACCCAAGCCCCACCGTCGCTGCAGCCTCAACCCCACTGCCCCAAGTTCTGCTTATATCTGAAGCCAGCCCTGCTATAATTAAAAGGCTGCCAATATTTCCATCCTTTTTTTCTTTTCCATGCATTTTTATATCTCCTGTGGCAGCCTGCCTGGACATATCACATGATCCCCCCAGGTGCCAGTTATTGTTTTTGTGAACACACTGTTTAGACATTTGCCTAAGTTTTGAGGGCTCCACCACAAACCTGGTTTTCCATAAGCCCTGTCCTTTTAATTTGTAACTTTTATAGTAATGCAAGGTTTTCAGACACATATACACCACATTAGAGCAGAAACTTCTTTATTTCATAGGGTGCTTGAAATATCAGGAGACATGTTTCATATCATGACAAGAATTGTGGTAGATGAGGGGTATACCTTATAGATTGACAGACATTGTAAATCCTTCCACTAAATAATTTATCTACTATTACGGAAAAGAAAATGGCATTACTGGTAGGACTGGTAGGAATACAAAGACTGCTTAGGAATACAATTTGGAATAGATTTTCGAACTTTTTATTCTGAGTTGATTAGAATTTAAGTTTCAAATCTTGAATAAGCATCTCTCCAGATGGAGCTACTGCAAAGGAAAGAGGCAGCAACCTTATTACTCATATCCTCATTATAAACATTAATTTGATAATACTATCTTATTCATAAATGCTTTAGTTGCCAAAAAATGAATCCTGATGCTCACAGAACATTGGCTATTGTCATTAAATTGCAAATATTATTGAATCCAAGGTGATAAATTCACATTTTTAAAAGCTGTTGAGTGTGAGGAAGTGCAATCAACGCATTTGCAACGATTGTTCCCTCAGAAGTGACTGTTACCAGGGGGCCATATAATACCATGCTGCTGTTGTTATTAATATAAAAGTGAAAACAGACTTTTTCTGAAAGAAAAGAAGTTTGTTAGATGAGTTTGATACTTAGGGCTGATTTTACCACTTAGGTGATATGGCAGGATTTTTCAAAACTTGAATGAGTCCTGTGCATAAAGATTTTGATGAGGCCAGATGCAGTGGCTCACGCCTGTAATCCTAACACTCTGGGAGGCGGAGGTGGGAGGATAGCTTGAGATCAGGAGTTCAAAACCAGCCTAAGCAAAAAATAGAAAAATTAGCCAGTATAGTCCTATAGCCCCAGCTACTTGGGAGACTGAGGCAGGGGAATTGCTTGAGCCCAAGAGTTGGAGGCTGCAGTGAGCTATGATCATGCCATGGCACTGTGGCCCAGGCAACAGACTGAGGCTTTGTCTCAAAAAAATTTTTTTTTAATGAAAAATATTTACAGGATTTTATGAAAATTTCATAGTGACAAAGGTGCATTGATATTGACAATATTTTCTTAGCTAATTCTGAGTATATTGGATAAAATACGGTGAAAGTATAGTGGGTATAATTCATAATCATTTGATAAGTCTTGGTAGAGTTTTTTTATTACTTCACAAAGGTTTAGAAAGTAATTTATCTAATGACTGAATAAGACATCTTTTTGCAAGTCATGTCTTCCACATCTTTGCATTTGACAAAATTAAAAATATTAATTAAAAAGAATAAAAACCATATAATCATCTCAATAAATGTAAAAAGCATTTAATAAATACAACACCCTTTTATGACTTAAAAACACTCAATAAAATAGAAACAGAAAGAAACTTTCTCAACTTTATAACGGGCATCTGTGAAAAACCCACAGCTAACATTATACTTAATGGTGAAAGAATGAATGCTTTCCCCCAATACTGGGGAAAAGACAATGGTGTCTGTTCTCAAGACTTTTATTCAATGTTGTACTGGAAGTTCTAGCCAAGTTAATTAGACAAGAAAAAGAAATAAAAAGCATTGATACTGAAAAGGAAGAAGTAAAGCTATATTTTATATGTAGAAAATCATAAGTAATCCATTTTAAAAACTATTAGAACTAATAAACAAGTTCAGCAAGGTTGCAGGATTCAAGATCAATATACAAAAGTCAACTGCATGCATTAGCAATGAAAAATCCAAAAATAAAATTTTTAAAACATTGTATTTGGAATACCATCAAAAAGAATAAAATACTTAAGAATAAATTTAGCAACATTGAAAACTACCAAACGTTTTTGAAAGAAATAAACAAGGCCTAACAAATGGAAAGACATTCCATGTTTGTGGATTGGAAGATTTAATATTGTAAAGATGGCAATATTCCCCAAATTGATGTACAAATTCAACATATTCCCATCAAAATCTCACCAGGCCTTTTTATAGAAAGTGGCAACCTGATCCTAAAATTTACATGGAAATCTAAGGAATCCAAAACAGCCAAAGAAATCTTGAAAGAAGAACAAAGAAGTAAGATAACTCATACTTCCTAACTTCAAAATCTTTTACAAAGCTATAATAATCCAGTAGCACTAGCATAGGGAAAAATACAGAAGTCAACAGAACAGAATTAAAAGTCCAAAAATAACCCTTACACCATGGTCAATTGATTCTCAACAAGGGTTCCCAGAAAATTCAACAGGAAAAGAATAGTATTTTCAACAAATGGTGCATAAAAATAACAGAACTACTGATACATGCTAGGGCATGAATAAAGCTCAAAAACATGCTAAGAAGCCAGACATTAAAATCTGCATGTTATATGATCCCATTTATATGAAATGTCCAGAAATGGAACATCTATAGAGACAGAAAGCAGATCAGCAGTTGCCTGGGGCTAGGAGTAAATAATAATTGACTGCAAACAGGCAAGAGGGCGATGGAAGTGTCCCAACTGCATTGTGGTGATGGTTGCATAACTCAATAAATATACTAAAAATCATCAAACTGTTCACTTGCAACAGGTGAACTTTATAGTATGCACGTAAATAGACCTCAATAAAGCTATTATTAAGTAGCTAGAAAAAAGATGCTTACCTAAGTTTAAAATAACATTCTATCTGCCTGTTATTTAATTAAATTTTTTCCTGTCATTTCCTCAACACCTATTATGAGACAAGTGCTGGGTATTATATTTTTACTGTTTGTATCTTATTTTTATTTATCTCAACCCTATGAAACAGATGTAATTATACCCATTTTTTTCCAGAGGAAGATATTGATTCTGTTTGTTTGTTTTTCTTTTTCTTCTTTTTAAGATATTGATTCTTAAAGCTTCTATCACCAGGCCAAGATCAGAGAGATGGTAGGTAGCAGAACTAGAAATCAAACTCCAGGCTTGTCTGACTTCAAAGCACAGGCTTACCTGGTAGAGTTCCCATTTAAGACAGTAAATATGCAGCAGATCATAACCATTATATTGTAAGGATAACCATTGTACCTTACATAACCATTGTAAGGATCCTCCTCCATGCAATGACCAGTAGAATTACCAGAATAGTGAGAGTGGGGAAAAGAAGGAGGGATCCCAGAGGGCTCCCCAAGGCCATGCCCAACAACACCAGACCTACTACAGGCAAAGGTTCCCACCTAACTACATGTGGAGACTCCATGGGCCTCCATCACAAAATTCCAACCCTCCTGTGCAGGGAGAAGTGACTTAGGATGCTGCCAACCGGGACTCGGGAGCACAAGTAGACCTTACTGTAGACCGGTAAGACAGGGTATGTGCCACGATTCCTCAGGGGCCCTCCTAGCCAAAGACAGCCTAGAGAAGACAGCAATGAAGAGGCTAATGAGAACCAAGGAGAGGAGACCCGAAGTCAGCAGCCACCTCAGCATCAGTACCATGGCAACTTCAGTTACCATTGCAGACACCCAGAAAACCCTAAACCACGAGAGGATAAAGAGACAAAAGCAGCCTAGCCATCAGCTAAGAATTCAGCTGTTCCTGAGGCTGAGCAGGGCAGGACAGAGTAAATGCCCACTTACCATATCCACGGTGATCTGGTTCAGTCATCCTACAAAAAGGAATCAACATGAAATGCTAGCAATAAGACGTGAACAAGACATTGGAGATGAAGACCTTAAGTGCTTGCTTTTTGCCCGTTCACCAGATAAATAGAACTATCTGTGTTCTCTATGCTGCATGGGGTTTTTATTATTTTTACCTAAAGATGTCTTTTTTGGTAATAATAAATCTTAAAAAAAAAAAAAAAAGCCTGTCTTTTCCTTTTTTCAATACACCTTTAAAAGTTTTTAAATTGTTTCAATCTGGTCAAGTTGAGATTTTTAAGAACTTCATTTTTAATTTGTAATTAGAAGTTTACAACTTGATTATTTTTGAAAAAGTCAACAAACTGCAAGCACCTGTTAATAAAGGTCTTAAATAATTGTCAAAAAAAAAAAAAAAGGCATCAGCCTAGTCCCTAAGTCACACTGCTGCTCTTCTGAGGAATGAAGAGTTTCAGAGAATCTTTTTCTTTTGCAAAAGAAAGGAGAATGGTTGCCCAGACCACGAAACTCTCAATTTCACAACATATCACCTACTATCTCAAAGCCAATCCTAGAGTATTTATTAATATTTCAATATTTTGTTGCTGACATAAAATGGGGACTGGACAGGTGTCTTAAAGACTCAAACCATCCAAGGTTCACCCAGCCTCTGTAGTCATGATTTCTGGTTGATTCAGTTGGTTACAGAACAGATGGAATGGGTATCTCCATTTAGTGCACATATAAAATTCCTAAGAAAGTCATTTGAATACAAATTCTAGGACTCTATGCCCTGATAATCTGGTCCAATAGGTCTGGGGTATGGCGTCAGAATCTGCATTTTTTGAACAGACATAGGAAAACTGTTAAAATCACAGGCTTCAGAGAACATATATACTTGAGTCTGAATATTGCCTTAGGTCATTAAATAGTTATGGCACCTTGACAAGTGAGCATCTCTGAGCCTCAGTTTCTTTATCTAGAAAAGGATGTTGATAATAACTACCTCTTAAAATGGCTGTGAATTTTTAATTACTAGATGCTTCAAGAAATCCTTCCATAGCAATAGCTGGGGGTTTTTTTGGTTTTTTTTTAACACGTGCATGAGTATGTGTTTCCTAGAGAGCCTGAGAGGATGGAGTGTTGCCAGCAGTCCAGACTGAATGCTTTTTCTCAGAATCAGGTCAGCGGCAAACACGCTGCTGGTTGGACTACATCAACCAGACAGAGAAAGCAGAGCAACCAGGCCCACAGCCCTCAGGCACTGCTGACTTGCGTTCTTTGTAAGAGACTTTGCTATTTGGAGCTGAACTCTACTGACTCACAAATGTAGTCTGTCTCTGGCCTTGAAAATTGATCCTGAGAAAAGAGGAGAAACCATGTGGCAAAGATGACACCTACTGGCAGCCCAAGGGCCCTGCTTAGCTGACACAGCCTGGATTCGTTCTGGAGGTCTCCATCCCATTGCCCTCCTACCTACGAAATGCTATCACCAAGGAAATAAGCAGACATGTGGCAAAGGTTTGCATGCAGACAATTTACATTAAGTATTATCTATAAAAGTGAAATATTGGAGTGACTTGCTGTTCAATAGTAGGAATTGGGTTAAATAAATGTTGGTGCATCCGTACAACAGACTATCAAGCAGCCATTAAAAGCTATGTTTTAAAATTCCTTTAATAACATGAAGAAATAGCCATATTAATATAATAAATTCAAAAGTCAGGTTAGAACACAAAACAAATAGGATAATGATTAAATAAAATTGATGTCTGTATATGCTCATAGAAAGAAATTAAGAATGAAATGTAGAAAGTGATCATCTCTAAGATTAGTGTTTTCTTCTTTATACATTACTATATTTTTCAACATTTCTGCAATAAACATATATTACTTCAGGGAATAGAAGGCAAAGGAATAAAAAATAATTTTTTTCAAAAAGGAAAAGGATTTTAATGACATTTTAAAAGAGAACTCTGATGAAGCAGTAGTAAAGATCAAAAGTGAAGAGCTGAGACTCAGATCTCAGGAAATATGATCGGAGAGGCTGATGAGAAACAGAGACTGATCTTCGTGATGACGTTAGCAGCATCAGATACTGCCACTTTGCAGGACGGTGGAACAAAAGAACAAAAGAATGAGGCTACAACATTATCTAAGAAGCAGAAAGCTTTTTATTTCCCTGGCCTAATCATCAGACTTACAACTGCTTCTTCTTTCGTATTATCTCTAGAGAATTTTCTTACATAAATGCCTGTGATTAAAAGGTCTTTCCTGCTGAGTAAGTGGGTACAACTATCTCTATCTCTTCAATGAATGTCTAATTGATGCATCTCTAATTTCCCCCACAGTGTCAGGCAAAACCTTGGCTCTATCACACACCAACTCTGTGGCCAAAGGGAAATCACTTGACTTCTCTGAGCTTCACTCTTATTGGTAAAAATAAAGATAGCAATAGCCACCCAACTGCACCTCCTATAGTTACAATCTTTACGTGAGATGATGGGCTTTGAAAGCAATCCCATGCATAATAAAGCAATCCTGTGCGTAATAAAGCGATTCCCAAGTCATAGTAATTAACATCCTTTATTGAGTAATTAAGTGACAAGTACTTCACAAGGTGTTTTCTTACATATTATGTCATTTAATCATCATAAAAAGCCTATAAGTGAGTATAATGCCCATTTTATACATGAGAAAATCAAATTTATAACGTGCTCAAAATTGAACGTGTTTTACATTGTAGAGCCAGGATTTGAATTCTGTTCTATCTCCAAATAATATGCTCTTAAGGAATATGTTATTCTTCTGTATAGAATCTTAGTGTTCAAAGGGACCCAACAGATCATTAGGTTGAACCCCTGTAGTTTGCAGATGGGAACACCAAGGCCCAGAAAGGGAACATGACTTGCCCATACAACCAGCAAGAAACACCACAAACTTCACTGCACAGGACACTGAGATCTGCTGCACAATCTTCCGGTCAATGTGGTTCCTGGTCACTTGAGCCCCAGGGAGTGAGCTGGGGTTCCTGTTCTCATTTAGCACCACTTCTCCATTGCTGGTAACCAGAAACTTTTGAATCCACCCTGTTATTCAATGGCCAAATTACATATTCTGAACTGTACTGGGTGAACCTTTGAACTTCTGGGGAAAGCGAACTTCCATACTGTCAAGTTTCACCATCACCAAAGCCAGAAGATGGATGGGGTCAAAAAGCCCACAAGGGAGAGGTCCAAGGTCACCAGCCAAGCTGAGCCCTAGATAAAAATGCCTCCAAAATTTATCTTCCTAAGTAGGAATCTTGAGGGCAAAGAGGGATGCTACTAATCATTACAGTCACCATGGTCATAAGGTAAAGCTACTGTCAGAAGCATCACATTGAAGGAGAAAATAGCAAGGAACAAAGATACCAGAACCTAAGTCAAAGGGTCTGAGACTAGAAGCAGAAAGATGGATCTGGGTTTGTGCAACCCTCCAGGTTGTCATCCTGAAATGGTCAGATGATTTGCTCCTCATCAATATCTGTGTCACTTCTCTGGTGTTGTGCCTTAGCCCATAGTCAGGGATAGAAATGACTGTAGTATATGTCAAGGTCACACACAATTTTAAATCGGCATACGCACCAAGTATGTGCAGACATAGATTCACCACAAAAATGTTCCCCATTTAGCTCCCTCCAGCTCTACTTCTCACTCCAGCTGCAATTCTATGAATAAAGCATTTTCCCCCTAAAACTTTTCACTTTTCCTTTCATTTTTTATGTCTGCCTGAAAAAGGAAAAACATAATCAAGTAACAATTTCCTTTTACATCATGAAATATGATGTAGCCTCCCAATAACCAAGGCATGGTAAAAGAGAGTAATCTATAAGTCATGCCTGTTCATGGGGTCTAACTAGTAGGATGGCTGATTTTTCTTTTAATCAGATTGGCTTATTATCAATGACCATACAACAGACCCCACAGGGCATCTGAAAATTGACCATTCTGGCCCACAGTGTTAGCTCCAGTTACAACCTAGGAGCTCTGTGATCCTCAACTATAGATGGCCACAACTTACACCCCTGTGCTGTGTGGACTCTACTGCCCGCCTTTCATTTGGCTCTCTTGTAAGACTGTCCCTGATCCCACTGCTATTTATTCATTCATTTAACAAACCCACTGTTCAAATAAACAAAACAAAGACCCCTGCCTTTGTGGCACTTATATCTTAAAAGGATAAGGCAAACAATAAAAAGCAAACACATTAAATAAGTCAATTGTATAGTATGTTAGAGGGTGATACCAAAAAAAGTATAACAGAGTAAAAGAGCTCAAGATTAAAAATAGAGGGATCCAGGAAGACTGCACTGAAAAATTGCATTCCAGCAAGAATTGGAAGAGGATAAAGAAATTAGTCATGAAGCTATCTGGGGAGAAAATACTCCAGGCAGAGGAAACAGCCTGTGCAAAGGTCCTGAGGTAGGATCAAGACTGCCATGTTCAAGAAACAACAAGTAGGCCTGTGTGGCTACAGCAGAGTGAGCAATGGGGGAGGCTAGTCAAAGATGAAGTCAGAGCATCATTAGAGGACAGATCACAGAGGGTCAAGCCAGCCACTGTGAGGACATTGACATTCACTCTAAGTGAAATAAGAACTATTACAGGCTTTGAGTGGAGAAGTGACATAATCTGATCTACTTTCTTAAAGAATCACTCTTCCTGTTATACAAACAATAGACAGAAGGAAAGTAGAATAGAGTCAGGGAGGCTTAATAAGAGGCTCTTAGTAACTGAGGCAAGAAATGATGGTGGCTTAGACCACTGCGGTAGCAATGGAGGTGGTAAAAGGTGTTTGCATTCTGGATGTATTTTGAAGATACACCCAGCCAGGCTATTTCCTGACTTGCTGGGTATGGGTTGTGAAAAAGAGGAGCCAAGAATGGCTCCAGTGTTTTGGCTGAGCTATGGAAAGAATGAAGCTACAGTCAACCGAGATGGAAAAGGCCATAGGTGAAGCAGCTTTGTCAGGGGAAGACCAGGAATTCAGTGGGGCATGTTGAGTTTGACCTCCAAGTGGAGCTGTTCAGCAGGCAACTGGATATATGAGTCTATAAGGCAGTTGAGAACTCTGGGAGTTGTCAACACACATGGGTGAT